ACTTAAAACGAGAAAGCCAAACTACAATAAGACCAAGTTGGGTCATAAAAAGGAGAGCAGGAGCACCAAAGCGCTCCGGAGTGTAATTGTAGAAGCAGCAAATGCTTTGGCACTTCATTCTGCTCTAGTGTCAGTTCAACATGTTGCACGTTTAGTACCGGAGAGCCCGTCACCAAATGCTCTGCACAAACAATCCGGCACTGCTCCGTGCTCAGCTCAGGGCACTGGGAGAGCCCCTGGCTCCAGTGCAACTCCATTAGCTCTGCCACCTTCAGCCAGTGGAACTGGCCCGTAGTGTGTGAATCGCCCCACGCTCGGGATGCCTGGAGTGGGAGCCTTGGGCTGCCGTGGCTGGTAAAGGGACTGGGGCTGCTGGGGTGCACTGCCCTGGCACCAGGCAGCGGCTCACTGTGCCCAGGGCTGGTCCCCAGCTCTGAGTACCGGAGATGCCACACCGGAGGCAGCTGCCCAGGCTCTGCCAGCATCGCCGTGCTTTCCCTCACCTCTGCACAGACCTGCGTGATGCCTGAGGGGTTGCTGTGGAAGGTGGTTTTTAGATCAGGCATTTTATAAGATGTTTGTCAGAAGTGTGGCTAATGGCTACCGCATCTTCCCATGGCTATTTTGGGGTGGGTTTAAACAAAAAATGCTCTGAATTATTTCTGTGTGAAGAACTGAGCTGCAAGTTGTCACCTCTGCGGTGGCACGGCTTCGATATGCAGCCAGGCAGCAGCTCTGGGAGCAAAACCAGGGATTCGGGAGTGGCTCGTCACAGGTACAAGGAGGTGTGGGCTTGCAGAGAGCCCGTGCCTTTTGCAGGAGCAGAGCTGTGTCTCTGACAGATCTTGCCCTGCTCTGAGCAGGGAGCTTGCCTGGAGATGGTGCCTGTGGGACGGTGGTGAGCAAAACACAGGAGCAGCTCATCCTCCAAGCATGTGTGGGACACCCCAGGGCTGCAAAGCCCTTGTGCCTGCCCTGCTTTGCAGGGCTGGTGGGGATGTGGATCCAGGCATGGGTCCCCCCCCATCACATGGCAGTGCCATCACACTGGGCCAGGCGGGTCCCACACAGCTCTGAGGCTTTCCAGAACTCCTCTTGATTTCAAAGAATCAGTTCAAGGCCAGGCTGGATGAGGCTTTGAGCAACCTGGGCTAGTGGGAGGTGTCCCTGCCCATGGCAGTGCGTGGGACTCAATGATCTTTAAGGTCCCTTCCAACCCATTCTGTGATTCTATGATTCGAGACATCAACTTCCATGTTCTGAAGGGCGAGCGCTCTGCAAGGTGCACCCTGACAGTAAGTATGTACGAAATGCGGCTTGGCAGCATCTCCCGGCTGAGGCTGGCGGCAGAGGGTTCAGCCCTGTATCAGCAGCAGGAGTTTGCACAAGGAGCTCCTGGGGAAGGGCAAGCAGGTGGCTGGAACAGGGACTGATGCTCGGCCGAAGCTGTTTCCCTTTTCTCCTCCATCCTCCTCTCTTTGGGGGAGCGAGGGGATGGGTGACAAACCCAATTAGTATTTTGCTGTATTTAAGTAGGGACATGATTAGACCTTAAGTGATGGGCACCTGGTGAAAACAAGGTGACAATTATTGAAAACCCTTATAAATTGCTTTTTCCCCTAATGGATTACTGTGGGTCCAGCTTTCTGTGTAGGTAACATGTGTGAGTGATTTACTCTATTGAGGATTATGACAGATGCTGTAAAATCATCTTGTAAAATTATCATCATTTTGTAAAATCAAAAGTGTTTGAAAATCATTTGTCTGTCTCTGACATGTCCTAGCACATACAGGAATGCTCTGTTTGGGGAAGTGCGGTCCTTATCCTGATTTATCTCCAGGTACTTGTAAATTGTACGTGTTATCAAATCATTTAGCTCTTCCTCTTCCAGAACGAAGTTATTTTATCTCACGTGCCTTGTTTACTTCAAATAAGCCCTGAGGTTGGCCTGAAGTTGCACCTTGTTATTCCTCCACCTCCTGTCTCTGTCTTAGGCTCTGTCGGCAAATTTGAAGGTATAAGTAAATACTTTTTTGTTATTAATAGAATAACTTCCCCCTCCTACACACGTTTTCTTTTCATTCCACTCTTCATTTTCCGTGAGAAACTGCCATCGCAGTACAAGCGGAAACCTCCCAAATTGCATGAAAACGCCTTAATTCTCCTAGCAACAGGGTCGGGGCTCAAATCCAGGACCTTTCCACGAGCGTGGGGGAAACGGCCCTTCCAATTACCTGCTCCCCCTGCGGTCTGGATCCGGTCGGTTCATCAGCACCTGGGTTTGGGTGGATTTGAAACTCAGCTATGGTATTGTTTAAAAATTCGCCATTCATTGGGGAAGGGTTTGTAGTGGCCTGAGCCCTGAGAAACCTGGGGCTGGTTTTATGGCTTCCCATTGAAACCTGGTGGAACCCCGTGGTGTCGGCTGATTTCCCCCTTCCCCACTCATGTGGCTTTGATCAAACCCAGGGCTCGGAGAACAACCCCCTCCAGGAACTGGAACCATTGAGCTTTGCCCAGTTCTGCCGTTCATTAAAGCATTTGTGAACTTCCAACTGCAGGTGATAAAATAAAGACCTTTGTGCCCAGCCCAGCCTGGAGATGGCCGGTCCTTTGGCAGGGCTGCCTTTGCCCCCTTGTAGGGGACACGTTTAGGGCACACAGCCCCTGGATTAGCATGGTTGATGCAGAAGTCACTGTCATCTCCCCGACCCCTTAATGGGACCTACCCATTAGGCAGGATGGTGCATCAATGGTTTTAGGGTAAATATCACATATTGTTGCACTGATTGAATTGAAGCTCTGCTAAAGGTATTAAGCCAGGGAGGGATGGCTGGTCCTGGAGACTGGTGATGATGAAGCTTTTCCCCTGTTGTTGCCTGCGTGATTCCAGCTTGGTTTGTCCTGCCTGATGCTTCCCTTCTCACAGCTCCGTTTGTAGCTTGTACGTGATTATTTGGGGATCAGAGGTGCGGGGAAGCCTGAGCCAGCCCATCGGGGGGGGGTCCCCTCCCGTCCTGCGATCCCTGCTCTTCCACAAACCACTGCTAACTCTGCTGGGATTGCACAGGACTTTTTGGGAAGGTTTCTAGGAACGAGCAGGCTGATCCGGCCTGGCGGAAAGGGTGGTAAGGGTACAGGGCTGTGCTCCTCATCCCAGCCCTCATGCCCAGAGGAGCCCTGGGAAGAGCTGCTGCAGCCTGGGACCCGCCGTTGTGGTGGGGGCTGTGCTGGCCACGCTGCTGTGGCTTTCCTGGCCCCCCCAGGGATGGGACGGGTGAAATGGCTGAAGACTGAGGGCTTGGTACTCTTTAGTTTGTATGGAGAGAGTTTAACAGTAAGCATAGCAGTGAGCATAGGCCTGCAGTACTGAAAAACTCATTATTTGACTTCAGTGGGGAGTTGGATTGGGCTAAGGATGGAAATCCTTCCTTTGACTTTGCTGAGCAGTAGATTAAGTCCCGTATGATGCTCCATACTGCGCTTATCCCTGTCCAAAATCCATAAAACATTCAGAGCTGAGACAACATCCAGGGCTGAAGTGAGCCTGTATCTACTCCCTAGTATCTTCTGACAGGTAAAGCAGCGTGCTGGTGCACACAGCGATGTGTGATGTGACGTGATGTTCTTGGTGCAGCACCGGTAACCCAGCAGTTAAAGGACAAAATATATTTTCTGGCTCCATCAGACATGGGGAAGCATCTGGCAGCTTCTCACAGCCACCCCTGTAGCCCCCCTGCTACCAAAGCCTTGCCATGCAAACCCAATACACCCTGTTTGCCAAAATCCCAAACCAGCGAGCGGCTGGAGAGCGAGCAGCCTGTGGCAGTGGTGGGGAGGGGGGTTTGCACTGGGCTGCGTTGGGAGGATCCCAGCAGGGCCGGGGTTCTGCTGCAGGGTGGTTGGGGATTGGCACTCATGCTCAGGAGCTTCTGACCTCCAGTTCTGTCTCTAATCCTGCTCCCTCTGCGAGGAAGAATGGAGTTTAGGGACATGGTTCCCTAAGCCAGGTACTTCAGCTCTGGGTGGCTGCTTTTAGGCTGAGATTGGAAGGTGGAGAAAGGGGAAGGACCGCGTCCCCTCCGCCACCAGAAACAAAACCCTTGGCCAAAGAGAAACCACCCCTGAGAAGGGTGAAATCAGGCGCTGGCATCCCTCCTGGGGCAGTGGAGCCGGGGTGGGTCTGGTGGCTGAGGACACTGCTGCCCGTGGTCCTCCAGCTGCAGCCGCGGGGGGGGATGCCAGTGGGATGCTGGTGTGTCCAGGGTGCTGCTCTGACATGGGAACAGCCCTTCCTGCTGCTGATGGTGTGCAGGGATGCGAGTTGGAGCCGAGCCTGAGGTGTGCAGCGTGGCTGCAAAATAACCCGTTGGATTCGGGGACTGGAGAGGGGTCGCGGCACCCCTCCAGCTCACCCCCAGAGCTCCATGCGCGGTTTATTTGCCAGGTGTCGCACCTGGGATGCTGCGGGGGAGAGTTTTCAAGGTGCTGGCAAGGCTGCGACTAAGGCTTTTAATGATTTTATTGGGTTTGGGTAGTTATGGTTGCAGACATTTCGGAAAACATATGGACAGTGAGCGGCAGAAGGGGCAATGCTGTTGTTTGGCCCATATGAGGTTCTGATTCCTTTTTTTTTTCTGATTAGGTATGAGGTCAATTCATCCTCATTTCCTAAATGGAATAAGCAAAGCTAAATGTCTTGCTTTGGTTGCAGTTGAAGGAGCTGGACTGGATAAGCTTAACTTTTGTGTTTGAAAAATCTTTCTCTCCTTGGATAGGAGTGTTTAAAAAAAAAAAAGAAATTATGACCTCATGCTTTCATTTTTTTTTTTTTAATTCATTTCTATTTCAGCTGATGTTTGTTAAAGCTTCTATGAATAATATTTGAACCAAAAACAAGGTCCAGATGTGATGATTTTATTTATGCCAAATTGGGTTTTGGTCACTAAGCTTGCATTTGGATAATGAATTTTTTTCTTTTTCTTTTTCCATTTTTCAGCCTGATGGCACCAGCAAGGAGTGTGTCTTCATTGAAAAAGTCCTAGAAAACAACTATACGGCACTGATGTCAGCAAAATATTCAGGCTGGTATGTTGGATTCACCAAAAAAGGGAGGCCACGGAAAGGGCCCAAGACCCGGGAAAACCAGCAAGATGTACATTTTATGAAGAGGTACCCAAAGGGGCAAGTGGAGATACAGAAACCTTTCAAGTACACAACAGTCACCAAGAGGACTAAGAGAATACGACCCACCAACCCCAGTTAAAAATAGACAAAAACAGTGTCACAATAATAAACCACAAAAAAAAAAAAAACTGCACCAGAGGAATATTTTTACATTAAAAAATAAGGAAGAAGCTCTATTTTTGTACATTGTGTTTAAAAAAAAATAAAAATAAAAAAAATTAATAAAAGACTAGATGGCAAACGCTGGGGAAAAGCTGTTAGGGATTTATTGTGACTTGAAAAACAAAATGAACTGCTCTATTTAAATTGACTTCTTGTTGTTGATGACACACAGGTGCTTATTTCGCTTTTTTGGAAAGGACAACTTTTCAAGCATATCCCCAGAGGAGAAAAAACAAAAAAAAAAGTAATTATTAAAAATAAATAAATAAAACCAAAGAAAACCAAAGTTCTTTCCCAAAGTTACTGAGACCCTGCCCCAAAAAAGTGCCGGTTTGCAGTAATCTATTTATTGTCTGCTGCACGCCGGCCCAAGACAAGATGGTGTGTGCCGCAGTGATTGAGTTTCCGTGGAGTTCTCGACGCATCGATCTTCTGTAACCTTTCTGATGACATAAGGTGTCACGGCTCCGTGATCCTGC